CCATCCGGCCCCATAGACTTGTGAGCATCCAGGTGGCGTAGCAGGTCATTAACTGCTTCCTCTTGGATTATGGGGGGTTCATCCTGCTCACCATCCCTGTCTTCCAGCTCAGGGGGCCGAGTACCCTGAGGATAACTGGTCTGCCTGTTAAAGACTGAGGCAAAGAAGGCATTGAGTACCTCAGCCTTTTCCTCATCCTCGGTGACAATGTTCCCCCCCCGCATCCAATAAAGGATGGAGATTCTCCCTGGCTCTCTTCTTGTCATTAATATATTTGTAAAAACATTTTTTGTTGTCTCTAACAACAGCGGCCAGGTTGCGTTCTAGATGGGCTTTTGCCTTTCTCATTTCCTCTCCACATGACCTAACGAGATCATACATTTAATCTGCATAACTGTATTCTACCTCCCCACTTTTATTGTTTTTCATCCTACACTCTCCTGTTGGTTACATCTTCTCTGGCCCCAGCTTAATGCCCTTAAGCATTGCACAAATAACAGCAGGCAGATGCTGCAAATACTCTGCTGTGGAACTGGTAACATTGCTTAAACAGCAACAACAGTTCTTCAGTTTCCTTGCTCTCTGCTGCTGTACTGGAAGAGAAGTAATGCATTAAAAATATCATATATCCCATGAGAACACTGAGATGTCTTTTTCTAGAAAATAAAGCCTTTAAAAAACAGATTCCAAATTAATTGAGCAGGCTAAAGAGAGAAAAAAAGAGAAAGGACTTTTCCCAAGCGCTAGGAATTCTTCAAAAAGGGGAAGAGGACAAAAATGGATGTAAAGCCGAAGTTGCTATAAAAAGAATAATGGTGAAAGATTCATTGTAGCCTTCTATTGGGTCATTGACATCCTAACCCTTCAGCAATTAATAAATCCTGGAATGATTATCACAAGGAATCAATAGGGCAGGGATAAGTAGTTGTCCAGCCAAATTAGGATAATTACAAGTTATCTTAATAAGCATACGTAATTTATTTGTAAGGATCACAGTGAATCTAGAAACAGTGTGACAGTGGGTGAAATATGTGAGACTAGGAGACAATGAGTCAAGCTGTCATGGCTCTGAGGTACAGTGAAAGGTTTAATACTGTTTATTTACCAGATTTGGAGGGATAATTTCCAGATGAATTGGTATGTCTGTACTGGTCTGGAAACAGAGGGCATTAAACACTGATACTTTAATCACAGCCTGCCTCCTCTTAGCTTCCTCACAGTTTGGGAGGGAGTCTGGCTCAATCCCATTTGGAATCAGTATAATATGATTCAATGGGGGTAGAGGTGAGGCAGCCTAAGAAAGACTAAAGGAATCAGATTGTGATTAATTTCTGAAAGGTATTAAAGGAGACACCAAGAGACACAGGCACTATCAATAAACCACAATATAAAAAAAGTCTTATAGATTTTATATTTAGATTTTAAAGCTTTACAGAGTCATATGATTAAAAGAGATACACGCTTGTGAGAAATACCTTTGGTATATAATTTTTCCCTTCTGCATTTAGTCAGTCATGAGTGTTATCTACAGTAGGACTATGACGCATAAAAAAAATAACATGTTAATAAAATGACAGGAGAGGTTTAAGAGTGACATAAGAACTCCTTGCTGGCTACGTTTGTTTGATGTGTATCCTGTCATATTTCA